CAAAAGACAGCTTCAGTTTATCCAAAAGGATAATTGGATTACTACCGTGCAAAACAGAACACGCACATTATCACCATCATAACAGAAGTATAAAATTATTATCTTATTAATAAAAATAAATTTTCCTTATGACCCACTAACAGGTCAGGACCACAAGGATACAAAATAAGTTTGAGTTGTTTTTTTCTCCTTTTCCTTCTTACCAAGTTTCAGCACAGAGGTTTTGAACTAATCTGCACACAGAACTGCAACAGATATCTAGATTAATCCTCTAAAAATAATTAAGAAAGTTAAGAGTTTAAATCTGTGAAGAACAGGAATTTACCAAAGAGTACACAAAAACCAAAGAAGACTCAATATCATTATAGTTCAAGTCAAGTTCTGCCCTGAGACTGTCAGCAACCTTTGATATCAATAATAAATTAAACTTGATTGAAGGCCTTCCCTTCTCAATTTTCAACTGCTATGTATTACATAAGCTTCAGGGATATGTAGAAAATACATAAATACATCTCCTTACTGAGTTTGAAGGATGTATTTGATACAGATACTTCCAAATCGTAAGAATGAAAACCTGGTTTTAGCTTTCTTGTACTTTCAGAACAGCAAAGTGTCCTTATATACTACAATGAAAATTACCCGTGCTGACGTTTTCCTGTCCTGATGGTTTTTCCTTGTTTTCTGTCTTGCAGGATGGTGGTTTGATGCATGTGGTCCTTCTAACCTCAACGGAATGTATTATCCATTACGACAGAACAACAACAAGTTCAACGGTATCAAGTGGTACTACTGGAAGGGCTCGGGATACTCTCTCAAAGCCACGACTATGATGATTCGACCAGCAGATTTCTAAATGCCTTTGCATTATGTGAATTATGTATTGTATAGTCTTCAAAGACTTCATTCGACGAGCATATAAACACGCATCTGCAACTTGTCTCATTTTTAAGCCCAGAAAACATGCGCTAGTGTTCTGAGGGGATCAGTTCAATTCCTGAATTGCAATAGCCTTGATCAGCTAAAGCTCGTATTACTCAACCAGATGCAAAGTCTAAATCATCAACGTGGTGTAACAGTGATTTGGCCAAACAACTGAATAAAAAGAACATCCAAGAAACTGTCAGACAACTTAAGGACTCTGTTTTACTGATCATTTATGTTACGTATGTGTTAGTAAATAACTGGAACTGTGAAAAATACCTAAAATAGTTTTAGAAATATGCATTTTGCCTCATCACTGAACTTTAAACAATACTCTAATATGAAACACTTAACTAGATCTAGAACTATTTATCTCTGTGTCATGTTTGCCTTTTATGTACATAAAAAAGAATACTGTCCTGTAATTAGCTCAATACTGTAGTTAAAGAATACATTCTTCATCCTCATAGTCTCCTAAACAACCTCCTACACTTCAGGGATTTTTTCCAATAGCCTGTATTACTTTATTTAACAGAGGACAAATAGCATTTAAGTACTTTGCATTTATTCTTGGGAAATACCATGTACAAAAATCACGTTTCTTTCCATTTGTACTTACTACAGTCACTATCTTCAAGTTACAAAAATCCCTGCAAATTACAATATAGTATGTGTTTCTTTATATTTTTACAAAGATTGCACTTTTTTCCTTTCCTTGTCATTTACCTGTAAATGTAAAATAACTGATCAGTATTTTATAAACTGAGACAACGGCATTAACACCAAATGTCCGGTTGTCTATGACAATCAGTTATCACCTGGTGCTGTAGTACATCTATACGTTTTGTAAAAATAACCTAACTGAACAACATATGCATGTTCTTTGATACAGTTAAATTCATACTCATGAGTTAAGATACAAATGATTACATTTTAAGAACAGGAAGAAAAATCTGAGTGTTATCTAAGGTCATACAGTTGGGGTTTTTTTGGTAAGGTTAGGAATTCTCCCTAGAAATTCTCTGTAGGTAGGCCCTCAATGTATGACACAATGTGATTAAATTACTCTACTGGGTGATTTTTGCTTTTTAAATTGTTTTTTGTTACTATATGCTTTAAAATTTTGTGCTGTACAGTGCAGTTCAGAGTGGGAAGATATTTCTTCACAAATCACACAAAATAATCCTGTTGAGATTTTTCCCCAAATTAAATTTAGGTTTTAATTCTCATGCTTAGTCTTTGCCTTAAAGTAATAATTTTGTAAATTTTTAATTTCAGCAGATGACTGAATTAGTTACAAGACAAGAACATATCTCGTACCAAAACAAAAAAACAAAAAACCCCAGACGCATTTCTGGAGGCTTACTTAACAAAAAGTATTGTATCTTAAAAACAGTAAATGATTTTGAGAAAGATGGAATAAAACTCTTCATTTCATACTGACAGTCATTAAAGCTGCTGTCAGAGTCCCCCACCACTCACACCGCCACCATTCTTCACTGAAAATGTGTCGGCATTACTATAGGGTGGCAGAGACAAAAAGTACTTTTAATATTATTTCATGATCCAATTTTAAATAAACCTAATGAATGTAAATTAACAGTCATCTGAAGAGTTGCATAAAATAATCTGAATGAATGTAAGATTACTGTTGAAGTATTTTATTGTTTCTCCTAGCAAATTTGTATGGATAAACATACCCCAAACTAGAAAGATACTTCACAAAATTGCTTTAATGAATTTCTAAGAAATGTCTTAAAGAGCAAGTCTGGAAGAGGGCCACCAAGCTCGTGAAGGAGTTAGACATACCAAGAAGCACACGACATACCAAGAGGGGCCGAGAGTGCTGGCCTTTTTCAGCCTGGAGAAGGGAAAGGGGAGACCTTACTGCTGTCTGCAACTGCCTGACTGTGAAGACACAGAGAAGACAGAGCCAGACCCTTCTTGGAGGTGCACGGCAATGGGACAAGAGATGGGACAAGAGGCAGCAAACACAAGTTGGAATTCGGGAAACTGGATTTTCTTTTTAGTTTATTACCATCAGGGTGCACTGGACAAGTCCCTTGGAGCAGAGCGTTGAACTAGACAACCTTCAGAGGTCACTTCTAATCTAAAATATTTTATGATTCTATGAAATTTAATAGAAATGCTGAGTCTAGATTACCGTGTTTCTTGCTTCATTGCATTTAATCAGACAACCCCCAATACGAAATAGTCCCAGTATCTGAGATAGTAAGCACATCTAGCCAAATAATCTAAAAAATCCCCCAAACCAAATGTCTTAAAAAACATGGTGGAATCTGGCACAGTATGCATGCTCAACCTGGCAACTGAAAAGAGTTCTAACTTCTGGTTGACATTAACCTTCATTATTTTAGTAAGAAAACTCTATATGACAAGCATAATTAAATATTGCATGGCTAGTTTCAATTTGCTGGAAAGAAGCCCTTATAAAGCTTACGGCTTTTTGATGACTGCTCTGGGAAAGTGATCGAAGATATTGATGTAGACGTTGAATGGATCAATTGTTGAATGAGACTTTTTTGGTAAAATGGAGTAATCTATCAACATGAACATAATATTTTAGAGTGAATATGTTTTTAAACGACATTTTGTCTAAATGAGATTGCACGGCTTAAACTGCAAACACCAAAGTGAAGTGAGAGGAGGACATTTGAGAAGGAATGCAATAATAGGAAAAAGAAGGCTGCAACAACTGCTTTGGACTTGGTACAAACAATAAAACATAACAGCAAGATCTTCTTTTAATTTGTTCCTGTAATCAGATAAACAGTATATAAAGCTAGAATGCACTTCCATTTTCTCTAAATACTTCTTAGGAAGCAGAAAACAAATAACAAGAAAACAAAGGGAACATAAACACCATTCATGCTTAAATAATAATCATATCTTTAAAAATAAAGTATCTGTTACAGTAAGAAACCAGACTGACTGAAGAAGGGAATGACTGGAAAGGTGGTGGAAATACCACCCTGGACACGGAGTTTGTTCCTCTGCAAGAGGAGCACACTGCAAAAGAAGCGATTCAGGTTCTCAGCACAATCATAACCTCCCTCGATTTTATTCTCTCACCATCTATCAAGCCCTCCTTCTACTTCAGGAGTATAAACTATAAACAGAATCTAAAAACAAACCCCTTGTAAGTTCTTACTGCTAGCATGCCTGGTTATTAGACTAGGTAGTCTGAGAAGAAACAGAAAACTCAAAACAGCTTAATGTGAAGTACAGTTTTCTTATAAAAATACAGAAAAGGTGGAAAAAAGAACATGCTGCTTATATATTTTTCAAATTAAGTTTTTCCACTCTTAATGTTTTTGCTATATAAAAAAACCTACTTCTCCTTTTAGAAAAAATACTCCATTATAATGAATGATTAATTTCTTTGGGCTTATTTCAGAATAACTGTTACAATTTTGCTACACTTCAGGAACACACAAATTATGAAACAAAGTCTTCATCTTGAACATGTAAATTTACATAAATTACAGATTTAGAAAGAATGTTAAAAATAAGTTCTTAGCAGTTAATAAAATTATAGTAAAAATAAAGTTCAAACCCTATTAAACATTCTTTCTTCAAAGCCCCTATGCAATTTTGAGAAACAAATAGGAGATGATATTTAACTAGCTGCTACAATATAAGAGAAATTGTGAAACCTTTTTTCGCAGAAGTATTAGAGTGATTGAGTAGTAATCTGCTAGAATTCTACTTGTTCTAAAACCAAACTAAAATTACTGTTTATAATCAATTGCAACACATGGAGTGCAGAGAACACTTGGGTCTGCACAGATACACGATGCCCTCACATACACACTTTTGCACTAGTCCACAATTCAGTACTTGAGAATGATCATTAAAGGCAGGAAAAATCCGTACCAAAGTTTTTGCACACACTTCAAAAAGTAGTCGACAAAAGAGAAAACAACTCCTTACAGTGTTTCCTTAAAAAAAATATTTTTTCTAGTAGGCCTTCTTGTTCACCAAACCTATTTAGAGGGCCAATAGTTTTCCAGATAAACATAAGAAAGTTCATAAGGTTAAAGGGCCATTAAACTTACAGGAGCTGCAGGGAAGCTGGATGAAAGCTCATATGGTTCCTCTGAGATCCAATGGCCCAATTCCAAAGACCACAGAACCTAAAATAAATTAAGCGGTAAGGAGAACTCTTAGAATTTCTAAAATAGCAAACTCTTTGAATGTGTAATTAGAAGTAACAGTGCAGTTGCAGTAGTTGGTTTGGTAATTCATTTATCCAAACCAAATGATTCGCTGAAAAATCAAGCAATCAGAAAGATAGAAATTTTACAACTGAAACAAACCATTAAAATACCAAAGTCATACTTCTGTGCATAGCTACATAAAATTTTAAAACCTTGTGAGGATATCAGAAAAGTCAACGTTTTGCATTGCAATACATAAATTAGAGTAGAGATTTGAAAAGGGAAGTCATACTATATCAGTACTGTTGTCCAGGTTCAGTTATCACTGAATTTCATGAGGTTCCTGTTGACCCGTTTCTCCAACCTGTTAAGGTTCCTCTGAATGGGAACACCCATCTGGTGTATCAAACACTCCTCAGAGTTTTGTAACATCTGCAGATTTGCTGAGGGTGCACTCTTCCCCATCATCCAGATCATAAATGAAAATGTTAATAATACTGGACCAGTATCAACTCTACTGCTGCTGACTGGGCTGATGCAACTACCGTATATAATCCACTTTACATATATAAATCAGCCTGCAAAGAAGAAAAGCTCAATTTCATTCTCTTCAGTGTCCTTCTCTGTCAACATCACATTCTAGAGCATAAGAAAAGGTTGCTAACAGTGCAGAGTATGAACTGTCAAGAAAATATGTAATCATTTGTGTTCAGCTGAGCTCTGAAGTGCTGGATCAATATGATCCTTGGAAACCAGCAATCCTAACACTTTGGACTACTTTCAGACTTCTGTTCCCATCAGGGCTACCACAAAATGGTTAACAGAAAAAAAAAAACCTACTTGAAATGGTTATATTTTCAGTTTCTGAAATACACAATTTTTCATATTGTTTTTGGTAAAACTTTCCCAAAATTACTCCTTCCAGCATTTTTCTTGGGTTGAGTTTCTAAACCATTCTTCAAAACAATTTATCATTATAAGTTGCAATTGGTAGACTATAATATTGAAAGCCTCACAAAGAGTGTTCAGAGATTATCCCTCTAGTGTTTATGAGGAAATGGAAAAAAAGACTGAAGTTCCTACCATGGTTCTGCCCTTGAGTCATATAAAGGTCATTTTCCTTCTAATTTCTAGATAGTCTAAATTCTGAAGCACACTTTGCTGGAAGAGGAGTTCATTTTCCTCATTGGCTTCATCACTGTCAGCTGAGCTGTAAAGCTTCTCATACAGGTAAAAGACTGGTAAGTTCTTTACCAAGTTTGTCACACAGTTCAGCTTTCCCCTTTTACAGATACTTGAGGTTCACAACATCCTTCCCGTAGTTGCCATTTGGCACGCTTTAAATATGAGTCAAAAGAAGCATTTTTACCCACTAGTGAGAGACAGCACAATTCAGATCTACAACCTTAAAAACTACAGCAACTCCCCAACACCCTGCTGCCCCTACAGCAACAAGTAGTATTAAGTGAACAAAAAATGTACATACACCCCCAAAATGGGATATATGGAATTTATTAGAAAGTAAATCCCAGTGTTTAGGATAATTCTACCTCTGGCAGTCACAATTTCCCTAAATAGTTCTCTGGTCATTTCAAGTAGATGATGCCTGTTTCTTACTGTTAGCAGCATAGCCATGCACCATTAAACTGTTGTCCTTATTCACCTTAGAACAAGCTGAATTTCATCAGTGCGTGAAATTATTCCCATGCTTGATTCACAATTAACTGAAATATTCTGGAGTTTTTTTATTCTTTTGGAAGATGCCATAGAAATTCATACATTATTAGTTTTAATTTCAATTATAAAACTTTACCTCATAAAATCTGGGAAGCAGTGCTATGAGATGTTCCCCTTAGACAAAAATTAGCATAAGAGGTAACAAGCATGATAAAGTTATCCTTTACAATGTTACAGCTCACTAACTACACAAGATTCTAAGCTGAACAGACTGATTAGAAACTAATAATGTAGATCTTATAAAACGGCCTAACTGTATGTAGGAGAGTGACTTTCTGTAAAGGGCTTTTTTTGCCCCAAACCTGTTGCTACGAGCAGTAAATTGCAAACTGAATTTAGAAGCTAATTTTGTTATCAAAACCAGCTTGACGACTTTCAGGGGAACCAGCAGCCTTGTCAACCTTGTCAAAAGCTGGTGCTTTGTGTGATGTGGCAAGTGGTGTTTTACCTGTGAGGGGAGGTGTCCAATTTTGCAGGCTATTGGAAGTGAATAGTGATAATGGAAAGGCAGCACATCTTCAAACCTACTGTTGAACTTTATTACAAAAATCCAAAGAATATTATGTTTACTTTTAGAAAATGCACCACCAAATATTTGAAAATGCAACAGCTGTAGAAAAAGAGAAACTAATTTCTGTAGTCATTATATCATACCAAACCTAAAAGTTAAGCACATTAATAAATCAATGATCTTTAAAAATATTTAAAATGTAATAATGCATTGCAGTGTTTAGCAAAGAAAAGTATCATAACTTCTTAAAAACATACAGTTAAGACTGCAACTTAGGATTTTAAATTATAAATTTTACGGTGGTACCTGTGTATATTTTTTACAATTACTTTTTACAATTTACAATAAGAATATTGAAATCTGTTATTTTTATACTTATTGCTGTATATATTTTTGCAAATAAAAGAAACTTGTTAATCCAAGCCATTTCTCTTCTAATCACAGTATAAATCAACTTTAACTAAACCGAGAAAATTGTAACTTCTAAGATGATTCTTAAAGACATGCTGCATGAAAATAATTTCTTTGTAAATAATCTTGAGCAGGAACAGAAGTACCATGCTGTAGAACGCGTACATCATCTCCTTATAGTACCAAAATGATGTTTGTACCAAGAGTAACTGGCAAACAACCCAAGCCGATTAAAACATAAACCCAAAAGATTAGTTATTATCAAGTAATCCCATTTCATTTTCTAGGCCAATTTTACAGTAACAACCTCTATCAATCCTTGTAGTATTTACTGAATTTTGTTTAGAAATGAATTTTGTTTATCTTAACAAAAGATGGATTAATGCTTGTCTATCATGGTTCTGGAATTGAGTACAAAGGCATCCTATCTACTTTCCTAGATAAAAAGAAAATTAGATACAGAGTTCATAAACAGGTCCTGCAGTAAATAATTAGCTCACCACTCACTAAAACATTTAGTCTTCATGAACACAAAGGCAAGAGCTCTCCATTCTAGGTCACTGAAAGTTTGCTTCTGACTATAGTGGAGACAAATTTTCAACCAGTATATTTTCATAGCAACACTAAAAAAATGCTTCAAATTGACGTGGGACAAAAACAAGTTATGATTTGCCAGATTATTCTGGAGTAAGCTACTTTTCCTTATTAAGTCAGTAATATCTTCATATTCAACAGTTCCTTAGAATGTGGAAAAGAACTAAGAAAAGCTGAAATACTTCAGAATATAGAAGTGTTTATATTGAGAAGAAAGAGCTATCCAGAGGTTTTCAAGTGTGCAGTTACAAAAGATTTGGCTTAAAATATAATGTTAAAGCAGTACAGCATGGATCACGCATGAATGTTGTATATAGGAATATCAGAAGTTAGGAAAAGACAGCTGATAACATTGAGATATTAAGAATGCATTGAATTGTAGTAGAATGCAGTCTTGCTGGTCATGGAGGACCCAAGAAACGAAGAAATAGGGAAGGAAGAGGAGAGTGGGAAAAGCATAGTTTTTCTGTGGACTTCTTACAGCCTTAAAGAATGTTTTCCTTTGGCTTTGGCCTCTAGAATCAAGTTGATCAATCTTCTGTTACTTCATCCTCAAGTATGAACTATTTTGTCTAATTCAGTATCCAGCAACCTGTATGGCATGGAGCTTCAACAAGTGTCCTGCAGGTTATACAGGTACACGTTTAGCCTTGGTGCAGTTTTTCCTTTGCATATCCATACCAGCTACGTTCTTTTATTTACACTACATAGGGAAATTTCTGTCAAATATCAAGTTCACAAGGGTCTGAAAACACACTGTTTGACTGATCAGTACTTAAGGCCTCTTACCCATCCAGCTAGCACACTGAATGATCATATGGTATTTGTACTTGAATAACTCATCTTGAAATATGTAAATAGAGTGCTATGAAGATTAAATGTCTAACAGTAAATTTTATATACCTACAACATCCACCTTTAAAAAGATAATTTTAAGTTTTTCTCAGAAGAAAAAAAATATTGCAGCCTAAATTATCTCTCCATGTTACAAGTCAAAAAGCAGAGCTAAGTAATATTTCAGCTTCTTAAAACATTGAGAAACATCTTCCAAAAGACAACCATCACTGCTCAAAATTAAAACATTGTTTAAAAGGTACTACTGATTTCTCTAGACTGATTGATTATTCTAGTTAGCCATTTTGAAGCATTTTACCAATGAAAGCACTTATGGTAGGATTGACTACAGTATAGAAAGGCATTTAAAGGATTTAGTATTGTAGCATTAATAAAAGGAAAAGATTATTTTGCTTAAATGAAATTCTCCTGACTAATTTTCTACAGAACCCCTCATGATGGTTAAGTAAGGCTTCAGCTTTCTCTTCTCTTCTCTAGTTAAAGTATTGAGTTAATGAATTTGGGTAAAAGGATGGCAACATTATACCAGTGACACAATTAGAAATAAGAAAATAATGCTCTTATGTAATAAGATGCATAAACTTAACCAGATAAAGAATTTTTTTTTTTAAAAGTTCAAAGCAATATTTTCTTTCAGTGAAATGAATTACTTAATTACTTGAGGGATTAGACATTTATGGACAAAGTTGTACCCAGCCGTAGTGAAAGATTTAAGCACAGTTCCAAGAAAACTAAAAATAGCAATATTCATAGATAAGCAGATACTATAAGATTGAACAAACTTGTGAGCTGGAGAACTGAATTCTGAAGTTTTTCTCTAGTTCCTTGTCATGTGGCTCTGCTATAACTTTACAACTTTTTCTAAATAGCAGCTCAATAAAATGAGTGAAGACAGGTTCAGCATTTGATCCAATAATACTTACAGGAACAAACTAATCCTTGGAACAATTCCATTTAACTTATTGGTATTATATGAGGGATACTGATGATGCTGTGATGAGTCTAAACTGTAGGCTGTAAGAAAGCCGTAGAACATTTGGCATTGCTACTAGTCAATACTGGTCTATGAAGAGCATCTGTTGATGTTTTCACCATGGATTCGTTCATAGAAGCTCAGTCCATAAAATGGGCAATGAAATTCCAGAACAGTAATTGCCAGCATACTGATTATTCAAATATGGCTTTATGTACAAAGATAGGAAACTTATTTACTGGATTTTTGTAGTAGTTATCTACACCTTTAACTATCTTAGTCGTTAAGTGAAGCTTCTTCCTCAAGAAAATGTACTGCTTTATGTTTGACTACCCTGTTATGAGAAAGGAACTTACAGCAAATATGTTGTCACTTGTTTAAAGCTCCATACAAAGCTAAGTGTGGGACAGATATTTCAATGTATTTCTTTCACAGATTCATAGAATCACGTAATAGTTAAGGCTGCAATGGACCTGTGGAGATTGTCTTGTCCAAACTCCTTGCTCAGATATGTTCCTCTTAATGCAGCCAAGAATGCTATTGGTCCTTTTTGCCACAAAGACGCATTACTGGATTGTTAAGATGATGAAAGATGCAAACCCCTTTATTCAAAGGAAGATTAATCACCAAGAACTTCTGAAAACTCCAAAGTCTACCATAACAGCTTCTTCAGTAAAACTACACGTATATCATGTAGGACAAGCTTCACACTGGTAAGTGCCAGACATCTTGAAAACAAAAGGGCAACAGGAGTTTATTTTGTTTCCGGCCCAACATCTACATTCTAAAGTATTTATAACAAAAAGGAAACCAAGAAGTTTAAAAATTATTCTACAACCCTTTTCTATGTAAGTTGAAGAGCTATTTTCATATAAATTCTAACAGCTATGTTTTATAGCTCTGGAAATGTGAGGAAAGCTGAAAAACTGTCATCTGCAATGTCAGATTGAGTGGTTAATCTCCATTATCACAGTGAGAGATTGATGTGATTTAACCCTGGGCTGACAGGTAAGCTCCTCATCCAGTCACTACTCACTCCCGGCCCCAGCAGGATGGAGGAGAGAATTAAAAGGGCAAAAGTGAGAAAAAAATCTCCTTGTGGGTTAAGATAAAGACAGTTAATGAATGAAGTGAAGAAAAACAGTTTAAAAATCCCCAAATAATGTAAAAGTAATCATTCCCACCAGCAGATCCATGGCCAGCCATTCTCCGAGCAACGGCTGCTTTGGAAACCCCCCTCCCAGTTTTATAACTGAGCGTGATGTCATAGGATATGGAAAATCTCTTTGGTCAGTTGGGGTTAGCGGTCCCAGCTGAGTCCGCTCCCAGCTTCTTGTGCACGCCCAGCCTACTCGCTGGGGGGGCTGACTGAAAAACAGAGAACACCTTGACACTGTGTAAGCACTGTTAAACAGCAGCGAAAACACTGGTGGGTGATCACCGCTGTTTTGGTCACCAGTCTAAAACAAAGCACCATACAGGCTATGATGAAGAAAATTCACTCTATCCCAACTGGACCCAGTACAGCAATTCACGATTATCTTGTCTTCACAGTAGCAATCTGGTTACTTTATGTGGTAGTCCACAAAAAATTTTGAGGATATACAGTGATTCTTTGATCTGGATGTCTGGGAACCATTTCTGTAAATTACAAAGTCTCCAAACTACTCATCTACAAATAGCTTTCCTTAATTTCTTTTTTTTTTTTTCTATTTCAAAGTTTTCCCACTATGCAGCAAAATATCTAACAATTCCCCTTCATTTTTACCGTTGCTGAAGACAATACATGTTTTGGAACACAGTAGAAATACATTAAATCAGTATATGAAAAATTCAATCTGAATAATGTGACTTGGCTAATGTTGAGCAGAAATGGTTTGTTTAGACTTCAATCTGTCCAAAAATAATGCATGCAACATGAGTTTCTCATCCATAAGATAAGACTTCAGGCATTTCTAAAATACATACTGAGGTACAATACAGGAATACTTTGGTTAGGTGAAGTACTGAAAGAGTAAGTCATGGTAACAGAGCTTCACACAAATTTCCATTTCCTCTAATCGAGCTAACTCTAGGTAAGCCTGAATATCTGAACATTGCACCACTGTACATAGCATGGACACCAACATTGTTATATGGTTGACATTTCAGCTATACAAAATAAGTTTAATTTAGTCTGTAGTAAAATTTACAAATATTTCTTACCCATTCATAAGAAACAATCCAACATCCACGAGCAATTCCCAGCATAACATTCAAGGTACGACGAGGATTGCCTGTAACTACATGACTTGTTGTTTCACACACGACATCTGAGAACAAAAAGTCTCCAAGTTTATTTACCAACTGAATTACTGTCTCTTGTTTCCTAAAAAGAAAAAAAGGAAAAAAAAATCTATCCAATGTTGAATGGATATGCAGAATTATAAAAGCATATACAATTATAAAAGCATATACACACAACACAAATTAATTCAAACTCACCTCATTTCTTTCCTCACTAATCATTTCTTATCCTTTTCTCACTCAGCCTCTACCCATTTTCTAGCCCTAAATTGATTCGCCTTCCCATAGAGTCCAAACAGACCCTTTTCTGTCATCACACAATCATATCTACTCACACATCAAAGCTCTTTTCTCCCCTACATCTATCTTGTCTGTTTAAATACAAGCTTTTGAGCCAGGAATTATCTAACATACTGTTTGTGTACAATGCCTAGTACAACAGAGCCTCATTCTTGGTTGCTTTTGTAGCACTATCAAAAAAGTATTACCAGGAAATGTAAACATTTAGACACAGCACTCTTAAGAGGTTTTCATTAGGAAGCACCAGATTTTCAGCATCTGAATAAAATGCTGTGTCTAAATTTAGAGAGAAGTCCTAAACTTCTGGCTTTCTACCTATACATCTGAGCCAATGTTTCAATTAAAAATTCACTTATTCTTAAAAACAGTTATAACTAAATATAAAATCCAGAATGGCCACCTATAACTGGAATTCTAATTTGAGTTCTCCGCATAGCTACACTGAAGCACACGAATATACAATCGTGAAAACTGCGAGATCTTGATATCACTAGAGAAAAGCTGTTGCATGAGAACAATTTACTGTTCTTATTAATTATTGTTATCATAAATCATTGTTAAAAATTATCATTAAAGATCTGGAAATGAAAGCCCAGTTCCAGTGCCCTATCTGCTCCCCTTGGTTGACTTGGAAATGTCCACAGCACGCTACACAAGATAAAACAATTAAGCACAACCTTGAACACAATCACATCTATCACAGTGGTCATCCTCGCAGGTAAAACATTTACGTTAATCACTGACATAATGCAAGCACACTCAGAACTTCTCCAGAAGCCTCTGGGATTAGGGATTACTTTCATTCTCACTACATTTCACTCCACAGAAAGTAACTCAGTTAAAGCTCCCCATATGGGTATATGTCTGCTAAAGCAGACACTACTTAGAGGAACTACCAAAACCTGCAAAAAATTCTTCACAGAGAATACAACAATCTATTTTTTCAAGAAGTTTCAAACAAATGAATAGTAACAGCAAACAGTGTAACAAATTAAATTCACGCTTAAGACAAAAGGTGATATTGTATGTGGAGACATTTGAAAAGTAATAATTCAAAAAAATCAAACCACTGACTTAAGTGCCTCACTCCACACGCTAGTTATGGTGAATACTGGCCTTGGCTATATTGCCTTGAATGTTACTGGAATATTTACTATTACCTTTCCATTTGATGAGTTTTAACTTGATATAGCCTACAAGAGAACATTTTTGCAACATTGCAACACATGGGGGCTGGCCCTGCCTGGACTGCATGCTCGGGGGATGCATTTCCATGCTCTTATCTGAAGCTTTTCTTCTTTCTTGTGTCTACACAAAATTCCTTACAATGAGAGGGATAAATCCTGTTGTCTAAGAATTGAATCTAAGATATCTTATAAATTACAGTGAAAACTCACTAGTTTATACTTCAGTCAGCTGCAAAAACCGCCAGATGCAAATGTACAGCAAAATTTCACTGAATTTGGGATTCAGAAAACCAGTCAGCTGCTGGCAGTGAATCAGCGAGCAGCATTTAATATAATCTCAAAACGCCATGCCATAAGGCCACTGAACTCATGATCTTTAAATTTAAATTCTAATGAAGCACTTTTGAGCCTGTAGCTACTGGCTAGTAGAATTGGCTTTTGGTCATTGGGTTGTACACTTTGGAGGACTGTTTTCTGTTCTTCAGTTCTTTCAGAAACAGTCCCTTTCCCTTCACCCATTTACAGGTTGATGAACACCTACAGCTGTAGATAGCCAAAAGCACAATCTTAATGAAGAAGTTCTGAAGAAAAGCAATTGTTATCACCAGACATTTTTATTTAATGAAATAGTAATTGGATAGTGGGAAAAATCAACATACAAGCAATTTGAAAGAAATAATATATTAATGAACTCTTTCAACTAAAGAACTTCTTTCCCAGCTCTGCCAGGACTTGTTCTCTTCTTTTAGGCAGATCACAGCCTCTGTTTTCCACTACTTGTTCGTGCACTGTAGCTATCATCTCTGCCTCCCCCATAGTGATCCTGTATTGCATGACTTGCAGAGTGCATTCTACAGTCTTGGTGTTACTTGCACCCAGTCACATTGAATAGAAGAAAAATATTAATTCCATTTTATGTTTCTGACATATATTAGTGTACTTCTTAATAGCTATTGACAACCATTCACAAAGAACTTCTAAAACGATAGCCACTAAGTGCTGTTTCTGAGTATTTATATCTATGTAACTGTCAAGATTTAATTACTTCAAACCTGGAACAGATTTGTGGGTAGTAGAAATATCTTGAGTTTTGAAAAAGAATTCAAAAAACTGTAAGCAAGTGCAGTATAAAATACGGAATTGTGTTTCTGTTGGATATTCTTTATGCTATAAGACTTCTACGAGAACGATAAGAGCATGCCAGAAAATTATTAACTCTCCCCAAAATATGCAGTGGCAGCTGCTTCTAATGTTTTGAAACTAAGTGGCTAAAAAGCCTACAACTGATATTTCTTCAGCAACAATTTATATGAAAGAAAACATTTTGCACTGATGTTTCAGATTATGGCATTTCAAACAGAAATCATTAAAACGTATGGGGGAAAAAGCTAAGTCTTAGGCTGAAAGTCTGAACCATTTACTACATAAAATTCCTTTTTATGTTTCCTTCAGAAAAAATCAAAACTTACTTAAGATTTTAGTTTCACTGCGCTGAAGCTCTGTTGGGCTCACCTATGGAACTACTACTCCAGTCTGCACCATAGCAACACATACACACACACTGTAGATAGCAATGACATATACATGTATGTACGTGCTTCGAGCTACAATACAGAATGAAATAAAGTACTTTAACATACGGCCCAAAGATAGATTTCATTTTGTGTAGGCGTAAAAAGATTATTAACATTCAAGTTTAAACAGTGTACTGACTAAAGAGACAAAATGTTTAATACTTACTCAGAAGACATACTCGTCATAACTAGTGTCCTTGTTGGCTAGAGATGTGAAAGAGACAAGAAAACATGAAAAATCTGAAAAATTTTCCCCTTTGAAAAAAAGATTAAATTAGAAACTGAGCCATTAAAAGGACTAAACTACTTCATAATTACAGTATCAGCTGGGGAAGAGGCTGTACTAATTAACATATATACTAGAAATATTAAACTTTGAGGACAAGGAGGGAAGGAAACACCTTCATCACATGTGGTATCAAAGCATCTAATATAGCAGAAGACAGGAATGTAAGTTCTCATTAGTAAAAACAAAAAGCAAAAGATTTCCAGTCTGGGATGCCACAGAAAAAAAGGATAGTATTTGTCTTCTCCCTTTTCCTTCTGATCAGGTGAAAAGGAAAAGGCAGCTTATGGGGACAATCTTTTTAGTAGAGACAACAGTGACAGGACGAGGGATAATGGTTTTAAACTAAAACAGGGTAGGTTTAGGCTAGATATAAGAAAGAAATTCTTTACAATGAGGGTGGTGAAACACTGGAACGAGTTGCCCAGAGAGGTAGTGGAGGCCCCATCCCTGGAAACATTCAAGACCAGGTTGGACAGGGCTCTGAGCAACCTGATCTAGTTAGCGGTGTCCCTGCTCGCTGTGGGGGAGTTGGACTAGATGACCTCTAGGGGTCCCTTCCAACCCCAAACTTTCTATGATTTCTATGATTTCCATGATTTCTTACCTTCAACAAAGAAAACCCGTAGTTTAAGATTTAACATGATTCCAGTTTGTTCCAAAAGAAAGGCAGAAACTGGCTGAGATGCCGCAGAATCAAGTGTATTGATTGTAAAGTATGATTTTAATAATTTTGTTTTGATTTTGATAGTGTAGCTTTTTTTTTTTCTTTTTGGCACAACTTTAGTATTTGAAGTCCAGGTTTTTAAGTAAACATTCTTTCACTCTTAATATGCCACACAAGGTATACTCAAACAGTACAGCAATCCTTAAACCAGCAATTCTGAGACACCTTAAAAAGCAACCCCCTTCCCCTGCAATTCCCTCCATAGCTTATGTGCAAAGTAGGAGTGTTTGCCCCATACAGACTTTAAATTAGTATTATACAAGTATCCTTTGGTCATCAGCAAAGACAACGAAAGCCTCCAGCACACATAAAGGTAGGACAGAACATGAATTTTAGCAGTATCAGAGAAAGACATAACTGAACATAACATGGTAATCAAAAAATATTTGTAAGAACATGTTTTGAAAATCTTAGCTAAGAATCACTTCTAGCTAGATGAACATGCTCAAGGATGTATACATAAACATTTTAGTTTTGTAGAAAATGTAGATCAACTGACTTTTATACAACGATTTCAAACAATTCCTAATTTTCAAAATCAATATATGATTTTCCAATTATTTCTCTAGATAACTAGTGCTCCATAAGAAATAATCATTCCCATTTCTGCCCTTCCAATATATTACCACAACCAGGGGCAGTAAGCTCCCAAAGTCTCTGCTAAAATTCAGTTTCCTTTGAGTAATGTGTGGAGCTGAGACACAAAAATATTTTGAATTGGATTACAGCTGGTAACACAGGCCAAAAACAATTTAAGGGCAACTCATTTTACCCAGTAATAAATCACAGAACAGAAGAGAGAACATACTCTGATGCAACTCCATCCATCCTCTCTTACCAGTACAGAACTGTTCTCCATCAAGTGTTCATGCAGTTTGTCACATTTAAGAATGGGTTCCTTGAAATTATCTCTGTAAACTAACAGACTGTAGACTGTGTGCACCATGACTGTTCATAACATGAATAATCTTAGCATAAATAAAACAATTTAGATACCATTTACAAGCTAGATATTAAAGATACCAAAAGAAGTTGCCTTTTCAACATACACATAATAATTTCATTCTATGGTTGGATAAATTTGAAAAATATTAGTTCAGAAGCAACATAATGTAGCATATTCAATAATCTTTTAAATTCATGATAAACATGTACTCAGACATTATGTAAGCTATACAATACTTCAGAACTCAAAATATATACAATGTGAAAATGTAAAAATAATCAATAATAGAATTGAATAAAACTTCAAATGAGGAAAAGATGAAACTTTTAAATTCAAATATTTCTTTAAGAGAAATTCTATGTTAGTTTTTTTGAAATAAAAGTTTCCAAATTCTAACTTATCGCCAGTGATATTTACTGATGATGCCTTAGCCTACTGCTAGGCTGACAGTTGAAGAGAAGATAATATGCACTTATCTGTAATCAAAATTTGTTGTATTCTTAGCCAAAAGACTTTCAGCTGCATCACTTTCAACTCCAAATAAGCAGTCACATTTAATTGCTCCTGGAAGTCCCAAGAACTTCACAGCTTCAATTCCCCATTTGAGTTTTATACGTGAAGAGTTTGAGCAAAAACAATGTTAAAAATGCAGCAATACATATAAAATATATCTATCATAACATTAATATACTTAATATTAAAAAGTAGGTAATATAAACTCAAAATTTGAGTATATATACTCAGAAAGACATCTAGTAAGACATTGAGTAAAGGTTCTTGTGGCAGAAGGACTGCACTCTGTAGCACAGGTTAGGTCAGATGATTGAAATCAGACATGGGGCCACATTATACAATAGTGAGGACATACCTCACACTGTCTTAACATCCGTTGTTGGATTTGCATAAACTCCTGAAAATTAAAGGATCCTGGGATGTGACAGCCTGGGAAGGCACAAAACATGGCTTACAAGCAAGGTTTTACTCTTCTCTGTCCAATTCCTCTGGGCTGAAAACCTCATCTGTGTCAAATACGTATGCTTCAGCATTGTCATGATGTCTCCTTCAGTATCTGAAGCCAAGCCTCACTGCCATCAAAACGAAGCTCTTTGGCCAGAAGTCTGGAGTTACATCCAGGCAAAAGAATTGCACTAGGTTCTTGGGGCCCTTGTACAGTAACAGCTCCAAAGCCAGATCCCGATGTGCCTGTTCAGAATGTGCCGAAAAATACTCTTCCTCACAACTTTTTATAAATGAAAGGACATGGAAGTATTACTAATCAGACCACTACTTTTGCTAAACTTACGTTAAAAGAATGCATTACTACTAACCAAGGCCAGAGCAGCTTGAGATCTTACAGCTGCTTCTTCAGCTTCAGACCAGAATTGTTTGTTAACAGTTCCTTAATACCTTATCTATTGGGAAGTGAAAATACTGGATCCACACAAACTGGGAAACCTGCAGCCTGTCCTGACATTACCCTGGAAAGTCAGTTTTTGAACTGTGGCTTTTATGTTACAACACAAGCATACAAGATGATGCAGGGAGTATTCTGAGCAAATGTTCTGTTAGCACACTTCAAAGTGATTCAAAGAGTCAAGAATGCAGAAGGATGCACATAAAAGGTAGAAAATAGAATACATTTAATTTCTTCCAAACTTTTATTGCATTTTCATTCAGAACTGCATATTTTTGCAAGTTAGAGGTCATTTCCTAAGAAGACAACATTTTGTTTTATTGCTTCAATAAGACAAGCAGTCCTCTCTAATTACAGTTACCAAGCAGAAAAGTTAGCCAAACTATGTTTTAATTTTCAGATGTACATTTCTCAAGTTAATTGCTTTGCCCCCCCCTTGCTATGCAATGTTTCTTCTATGTATGTGTTCTGTGTCTGTTTTATTTTACTTGTTGCTTTCATTGCAAAAAAAAAATTTCAGTTAGCATTTTCTTTTCTGATCAGTTAAAAGACATCTGGTGAGCATCATTATGAGTCCTAATTACAGTTGTAGCAGGATTATTATTAACAAAATACTAGACAAGGTGGTATTAAGTTAACTGGTCCTTTTATTTATCATTAATCTCTGGATTCTGAAGAGTTACGAACCTGTACTCTAAATCAGAACACACTTCTTTCTGAATTATTTTTTAGGTCTGGAATACAGGCTGCGTTATAAATGACATGCTTCAGCTTTCCTTTATATATCTCTTAGGAGCACAGTTGCATTAAGTATTTCTTTAGAGTATGCCAACAAGATTTTTCTAAGCCATCTGAAATATAAAACATGCATTTCAGTAGCTCAAAGGAAATAGTATTTGTAAATCTTCCCAGTACTTAAAAGACTACGTGATACTTCCTGTATGCTAACTGACCTACAGCACAAAAGAGGCATCCCACCTCAAAAGCTGTTCTTTCTTTCTTCTAAGTTTGAGCAGGTGTTTCTTGGAGCTGAAGGGGGCAATAAGAGAAAAGTCCTGTTCTATACAACCTGCTTTTCAAGAAAGTGAACTCAAATTTTGTTTCCTTAAGAATGTCATGAGTTGTTTTTCATAAATGACAAATTAAAATGGGACACAAAATATGTTTCTCCAGGCCAGTTCTCAAGAATAAAGTGCATTCATGCTAAGAATTGACTTGATAGGAATAGGTGTACATTTGTGACTGGTTAAATTCCAGTCTAAGTATATTAGATCTCATTTTGTCTTTGGGTCAAGAACCCAGGCCTCAGATCTTTTTCAAGAAAGGATTTCAACCAGTAAGTACCACTCTTGAATTGCATATTGCTTAGTCCAAATGCTCCTCTTATGCCTTGAAGTTGACTGAAGTTCTGAAAGAAATAAGCTTCAGTGTACTCTCAAACTCAGACTTATGCTGTGATGGAGTACAAAAAAGACTTTCACCTTCAGGACTCAACAACATACTTACCCTGCATGGTTTGGCCAAGATACCAGGGACAAAGGACTTTTTGGGGGGCGGGAGGGAGGCAGGGGAAAGTAGTGCAAGCATGTGCAAATAATATGCTGTTTTGTAGTCTTCCAATCCCTTTTTTCTCTGGCTATTGCAGGTCCATCAGATGGTTCTGAAATTGGTTCAGAACTAGTATACTCACTCTTGATCTTTACAGCTGTACATTAGCCAAAAAAACAGAGCCATGTACAGCATGGGAATATTCAAGAATCAGGTTAATTCCACTCTGCTTTTATCTAGGAAAGTTGTAATGAAGATGCAAAACTTTAAGGCTGTTTTTAGA